GGGGGGGGGGTGGTGTCCAGAGAATTAGGAACCTCTTTTTTCAATTGATCCTTCTCAAAACTATCATTAGTAGATCGATATACATATATTTATATATCAGGGATGTCGGAGCATTATTTTTCTACAAAGCTTTTCGCAGTTGTATCACAGCGTGGGACAATCACAACAAAGCTTAGGCTCCAAACTAGGTGAAAGCCCAGAGATCGAATTAGAATTTAGAAGTAGATTTTTGAGGAGGGGGGAAAACCGGAGAACCCGGAGAAAAACCCTCAAAGCACAGGAGAGAACCAACAAACAACTCTACTATACGACATTGAGATCGACAGGACTTGATCACCGTTGCTTCCTTTTTAACAGAGGGGTTACAATTCAGATTTTATATATTATGTATATAAAATGTGCAAGGAGATGTGTAAGTTTAGCGTAGAAAAGGTGGGGGGCCCCCCGTCTGCAACGTCCCTGTGTATATATGAGGCAGTGTGATAATACAATTAAAGAAACCACACTGTTTCTTGATGGAATTTGTGGCAATCGCTTTGTATTTCCATGTAAACCCCATATTCAAGATCATTTCAGGAGGGGTCCATTCTAATAACATCTTATTGACTTCACCTCATAACTACTAATTCTGCTGGAGTTCTGGGTCTTTAACTTGCACCTTATTCGTCCAGTAGTAAATCCCAATTTGAGAGCATTGCACATTGATGTTGCTTGAACAAAGAAATCAAATGGGAAATCAAATGGGAAATCAAATGGGAAATCAAATGGGATGGAAAAACATTAAAATACAAATAGAATCATACCATTTTAGACATGAAAACTATTGGTCAATTAAACACTTTAACCAAAGTATCCCAGAAAACCAGGAATGTGTAGTTGCAGAAATTATCCATACCTCCCTTCCCCCAGAAATTCCAATTTGTATGTATATATTATCACATTTTAATTGTATATATATATATATATATATATATATCATTAGTATATTATAATTTAGTTAGTTTAGATAGAATTCTATTATTTATTTTTACCATTTTTGTAAAGCGCATTAGATCATATACCCAAATGCCTTTTTGCGCTATAGAAGCATTAAAATTGTTATTGTTATTATTATTAATTTTCTTCCATACAAACTCCTTCTTTCTCTGACCCCCCCTACCCCTCGGAAATTTCAAATTCTTTTGTGGGGGATGGGGGCAGGGATGGATAATTTTTGGGACACCACATTCAAGATTTTCTTCTCAAATGTACTATCCCACTTTTTCAGGATTTTTTGGTTAGACCCTGGTAACTAGCTGGTTATCCCTAGAGAGGGGACTTCATTATCAATAGAAACTGAAATCAAAAACTCTTAGAACTATTCAAAGAACTCTTAGAACTATTCAAAGTGTGAAAAAAATCCATTCAATCTTATTTTGGTCTTTTATTGAAGAAATAGAAAACGTGCGTGTGTGCTGTGTGCTGTCATAAAGCACGAAAGGGTTGGCAGAACATGAGAGAAGTGTTAGGAGAAGCACGGCACGTAGCAGTAGATTGTTCTGGACAATTCTCGAGTGTTCTGCCCATCCCTAAGTGCTTTATGACTGCACACAGCACAGCAGGCAAGTTTTTTATTTCTTTTATAAAATACAAATTACAATAATAGATAGGAATGAAGCAACGGAAAGTGCATGCGCGTGCAATGTGCTCTCATAAAGCACGCACTCAAAACCAATCAGAACATGACATTCATAACAGTTATTTCATAATAATGTATCTTTAATTCATTCTTTTTCCAGGGATGCCATTGCCTCTCTTGGGCTTGAGGAGGTGCTGATTTACATCAAGAATGAAGCAATAGATAGAGATGCATGGGAAATGGCTGATCAGGGTCTGATGATATTGCACAATATCAGGCCTTCTCTTGTAAAATCTGACTCAAGCTCATCTCTTGGCTCTATTAATAGCAAAAAGAACCTGTGATTGTATTTATTAGCCTTGCTAAGTAAGTAATGAAATAGTGTAGACATATATTCTTGCTGCAGATATTTAACCCACTCCATTAAATATTTAAAAAATCGCAGCAATCAGAACAAAAATTAGACCTACATAAACATGCAAATTTCCAACTTGTATTTTCCTACAAGACTTATAGAGTGCAAATAATATACCCGTGAAATAGCTAGCTAGCTAACTAATTACTAACTTTGTTCTATTGGTTGCCTAAGTCTAATTAGGTAAAGAAATAGGCGAGCTGTGACGGGTAAACTAGTGCACGTATGCTACTCAAGGGTGCGCATTATTTTTAAGTACTGTTTAATAAACGAGCAGGAGTGTTTTATCGGGTATAAAACATGAGGCGCAGTTGAGTGGTTTTAGACCCAATAAAACACAATCTGCGAGATCATTGAAGGGCTTAGAAAACTCATGATGTATGTTCTCATAGTGTACCGATTTCTTTACGAAATGAACCAAGTTTGATAGAGAAAATCCAAGTTAAAGTTTTTGCAAATGAAGACGAATCTACATCAGATATAAGACCTCCTTCATGGTCATGATTTCTATTGTGTTTTCTTCATGAATTATTAATGAGTTTTCTAAAATATTTTTAAACACACTTACAAAAACTGGGATTCTGGAAGTTGTAGTAGTAACTTGACACTAATGCAATAGTCCCTTTCACAGTTTCCTGCGCCATCTTGATTGGTAGCTGTGCCTTTGCATCAAAGCGAGAAGGACAGTTGGTGAGCTTGGATTGATAGTTACTGGACCTTTTTTTAGCACCTCGGACAATTATTCACGTCTTTATCATTGCAAGCTCACCATTCGTCTCGCTTCTTAAGGCACAGCAACCTTTCAATATGGCACAGGCAACAGTGAAGGGGACAAACGAATAGTCATTCAGCAACATCTTATGGGTTATTAACTTGTATGGACTGCAAGCTTAAGGTTGAAATACTTTGTATACTGGTTTGATAACTGTACATATTTGCATCATAATAGCATTAAAGACACATATTTATAACTTTTGTAACTTCTTATTAATTTTTTTATTTGAGCTTACACTGTATACAGAAGTTCTTGCTATGCATGGGTGGAGAGTAGTTACTATTATCCTGTGGGGGGGGGGGGGGGTAACTATAATTCTTTGGGGGGAACTATTATCCTGTTGGGAGGGGGGGGAGAAGAGTATCATTTCTTTGTGTAAAACAGAACAGAACTGAATATACTGTACACCACAACAATATGCACGGCCAGACAGAGTTTCGTAAAATTCCATATCATTGTGCTCTTTTGCTGATTGCATTCACATCCCCATAAAGCATTGATCAGGGGTAGATCCAGAATCCAGGGGGGGTGATGGTTAAGAATACCTCACACCATTACCACAGGAAACTCATAAAATGCAGGAAAATTGTGTAAATATGGCATTTCAAATTGACGGAAACTAAATTTCAAAGCTTCAACTAAACTGAGTGAAAGCTTGTCCTGATAAAATGTTTTCAGCATATTAGAAAAGGTATGCTTTTTATTGAGGGAAGTGCCGTGGGGTATCAGAAGGGAGGGTCCAGCAAATAATTTGTGCAAAATTGGGGAGGGGGGGGGGGGTAACTTTCCACATACTTCTGGATCTGCCTCTGATTGAGTGCTTGCTATATGCAGCATGGAACAAAACCTTTGCCAACCATTTTTGAAATAGCTGTATATTTTGAGAGCATGATTATTCTACATAAATACGAATTTCAGCATTCATGTTCTCCATACATTCTATATTCTATATTCTCTGTTGGGATCCCTGTATTAAATCTTATGGCAGAGAAGAACTAGGAACGATAGAGAGGAGGAGGAGTGCAGACGAGTGAGGAAGAGAAAAATCTCTTCTTTCTCCCTCTCCTCCCCCTCCCCCCTTCGTCTTTTCGTCCTTGCCACGGAAGCCCAAGGAGCAAAAAGAGCCAAGGAGATGCCTGCTAGGAGGCTAGCTAGTTCTAGCCTATATCAATGATATAATAGAGTTTTCTGTAAAAGAAAGTGAGATAGTTCTGTATATATTTTCTATCTATAATTGTACAGTAGCTAAAGTTTTCTTCAGTGCAGCATGGCCAGCTTTTTTTAAGAAAGTTTCATTTCTCTGCAAAATAGCTTCCATCACCTCTTTATGAAAAACAACTTGCGCACTATAGTTCTTTATAGTTGCCAATAGCAACTTGGCAAACTTGAGAGACTTCGCCATGGTAACTGAATTCTCTTGAAGTACGCTTATGTAGTCTTTAAATAAACTGTCATCCAATACAGGCTTGCCATCAATGATTGTCTGCATGACCAAAACTTTATCCTCATTCAAGCAGCACTGAGAGAGGTTTTGGGCTTTTAATAACAGTTCCAATAAATATTTTGAAGCGTCTTGGTTCGGCATGTCCTTCAAAGTCTTACTTATGATATCAGCTTGGAAAGAACTAAAGGACAAGTCAGCAAGTAATCTGATAAACAAACCCTCAGAAACAGCCTTGGGATATTTCTTACAAAATGTTGTAACTGAGACTGTTAATAATCTTGATGCTGTCTGCTCTATCTTTTGCAATCTTGGCAAAATAAAATGAGATGCAAAAGCACAACCATGCATGTAGCTTGGTTCAGACTCAAGGGATGCAAAACTCTGACAAAGTGAAGCTATGGTTTGGTCATTTAAGTCTTCCAACTTTATAATATTTGAGATATTTTCAATCTCAAAACTTGACAGTTCACAGAAAATGTTTAATCCATCCAAACAATTTGTGGCTTTGACTGCTTCTTGTGACTCGAGGGCTTGAATCAGGTTGTGCAATGGAGCAATCTTTGTCTTGAATTCATTAGTTATAACTGGTTGTTCATGAGCCACTTCAAACTTTGCTGGTGCTGAGGGGACAACAAGCTGTGAGCTTTTTGTTTCCTCTTCCATTTTTGACTTTTTACTGGGACTAGGATCTATTGTTATCTCATTTTCTGTAGTTTTTTGGTTCAAAATATTTCGTTGGAAGTTTTCAGCAACATCAATGTCCATTTTTTCATCCTCAATATTCTTTTTTTCGTCCCATTTCTCAACTAGTTCAAACTCCAAAACACCTTCACCAGTCTCTGTAGGGAAGCTGTTTGTTATACCTGAAGCTATATCCTGTTTTTGTTTCATTTTTTCTTCAGTTTCATCTTCCAGAGATATCCATCTTGTTCCAGAAGCATACTCTGTATCATTGCAAAGATTCTTTTTATTGATCTCTTCACATAATCCCAAGAATCTTTTCTTAGACTCTTCTGTAATAACATTCACATAAAACTGAGCTCTCTCTTCCTGTAAGCTGCTCTCTTTTTCTCTTTCGCATTCTCTAATCTTAACTTTCAAAAGTTTTCTTAGTGTTGAAGAGCATCCTCTATAAAAATCTTCCTTCAACTCTTCCAACTTTTTGACCAACTTTTTCAAACATTCTAAAGGAATTGAAGCAGAGTTTGACAAAATAAAAGAAGCAATATTTCTTTGAAGATGTAGCGGGAAAAGTATTATTTTTGGCTTGAAATAAATATCTTTCTTAACTACAACAGGAAAATCTTGAGTTAAATGTTCAAAAAGAATCGAATAATTCGGAGGAATTTCAGAATTTTTGCTTGAAGTTTGCTTCTGTTTCAGCCAGAGAGAAGCATTTTGTACAGGATTTGGACTATAAGCATTCAAAACGCCAAAAAATCCTTGCCATTCCAAAGGAAACGAAGCAGTCAGAGTCCCAAGGAAGGAATCTGATGGAAAATTCAATAAATCTGTCGAATCATTACTTTTTTCGGCTGACATTTGCTTCTGGTACTTTTTCTCTTGGCAGCAATTTTTTCAGCAAACTTTACTCATATCGAAAAATACCGCGCGAAGACTAAATCTACATGACTAAATAGGGGAGGGTGGGGAGACATAAATATCATAATCTATTTATTCTAATAAAAACATAATAAACGATAATTTTGTTTAATCTATGATAATAAAATTAATTTATATTTTGATTTTTGTTTGCATTAGGTTATATTTAAAAACATTTTATGGTGTTAGGAGGGTGGATACAAAAAGGTATTTACCCCTCCCCTGTTTAGGATTGAGTAGTTGGCCCTCAATTTCCCGCGAAGTTCTCGGCCGTGAGTAGGCCTGGTATATAGGTGGTTTCCTGTTGATCGATCATTTACTTCCTGATCAAATGCTCTACAACTGCCTCTGAATCAGGCTTAAACCAGGGAGATACTCCCGAAAATGCCTTCAAGAAGGTAACCTAACACTTAACCACACTCGTTCTACCCATACAATCCTTTATCTTTCTAATCGGGCTTTTTTTCTGGCGATCCCGTGTTTCAGATGGTTCCATTCCAATATTAGCGGATTGGATGCAGAAAAGTTACTCACCGAACGAGGTCTTGACGGTAGCTATCTTGTTCGTCCCAGCAAAAGTAATCCTGGCGATTTTACCTTATCTGTACGGTGAGTACAAATAACTAAAACTTTCATCTTGTATTTTAGCGATCAAAGGAACTGGGAATCAGAGTGTACGATTTTTTTAGAACGAGATTTCCTGCTAGGATTCGGCAGTGACCTCCCCCGTTTTCAATTTTTGTTGATTGGTAATCATGTCTGAACGAACCCTGACAGGAACAAAAACGTCAGAAATCAATAATTAAATCTTTATTTGTGTTTCACAGTTTTATTTTAATCATTATTAGCCCCCAAAACCGCAAAAATTCACCATATTCTTCCACAAAGTCGATAAATTCTACTTCAATTTTTACTCTATCCGGCATTTTAAGTTGTTTGTCGATGACTTGTGAATATGGAGAGCAAATATTGGGAATAATTGTTCATCAAAAGCACAATCTACCTTGCTTGGATTATTGTGTAATAATGAAAAAGGCTTAAAATAATGCTTAAAGTGGTCTCCCTGGCAAGACAGCTTTAAGCCAGCTTCAGCACTTTAACCGAACGTTCTGACATCTTGTAGTCACTGCATAATTTTTATATGTCAAAGGTTCGATACCTCAAGTTTATGAACTATTCACTGTTTATAACTACCAAATTATTAACTTCTTGTGTTATTTTTCATTAATTCTAAGCTTCATTAACTATTTAAGTCTCTAATTCTTTTTGCTTCACTTATAATATAAAGAAGGGTCGCGATCGTTCTAGATTAAGCTGAGAAGCTTTTATTTAAAATATTTCTTTTCAAGGAAATTCTAAATCGAGAACGTGATAAAAGTTCAGCATGTTGTTTTGTTTAATATCGAGTTTAAATATTGACTAACTGTTTGTGAATTATAGATTTTGAGATTTTTTATAGATCTTAGATTTTACCACATTTTAGTTAATGTAATATATAAATACTTTATTCTCACATTGACACTTCACTGTGATTGATTAAATGCCACATTAAAATATAATATGACGTAACGCTTTATGAGTTTTCAAAACATACTTATTTGATCTACCAACCCAAAAGTTTATTTTTAGATTTCAATTGTCATAAAGAGGAGTTGTTTGCTTAGGGCCTTCTTTCCTTGCACTTTAATTATGTTTCTTTGTATAATTTTTTCATGGAGTTAAGAAGACTTTGAAACATTGAACTTTACTAGTTTCAAACTTTTTTACTAGTTTCAATTTTTTTTGTTGACAATTTTATATTAATATTTGTGTTTTATTCTAAGAATTTAATTCATTTAGATAAACAGAAGGTGTGCATCACAAGATTTAGTGGACTGGAGTGTACATGAATTTTTAGTTCAGTTCTTTTTTTTTTTTTTTATTAACTTTGCACAAGCTGAGAAAAGACTCGAAGTCCACGCGAGCTCAGCCTGAGAAATATATTCTTTATGTATAATAATTGAATAAGAGTTGGTAGTGTACCAGTTTCAGTTGCAAGTTTTTTTCAGTTTCTATATAATTCTTTTCTTCTTTTTCATGTGCAGCAAGTGCTTCTCTAATTTTGTCACAATTTCCTAATGTGAAATAATGCATACAATATATGTCACATGCCCCTATATCAATGAATATCAGAGATGCAATTCAAGACAGAAAATTGCATCTTGATCCTGCATTTAATACATGCATGCATATATTTTGAGATGCCTGTATTTTTAAAATTTTGCAGTTTAATATCTAAACATCTAAACTCTGGGCTGATTTTTTCCTGCTAGCTGAGAGTCTCTCTTCTCTTTCTCTCCCTTCTTTCAGGCGGGGAGGAAGGAGACTCTGCCGATGTAGAGCGTTTCCTTTGATACACCGCTGTCCACAATCATGGACAAACAAAACCAGTTTTAAAAACTGTTTTTAACTGATTACATGTAGTGCGCATGAGCAAATGTAACACACTTTGGCATCAAACATTGTTTGACGAGAGCAGCTGTCAAAATCATGACAGCATTGCTAAGTTACGCCACACATGCACAACAGAAATAACGTCCTACATCAGCAGAGTCTATTTTTCTCTCTCAACCAAAACAAAAGGCTCTGCTAGCAGGGAAGGCTGATCTAAGTCAGGGCATGGCTAAATCTCTCTGATCAAACTCTGAAACAATCTCTTGGCTGATCTATAGTTAAGTCAGGGCACGACTATAACTCAGAGATCAAACGCCCTGAAACAACCTCTGGGATGATCTAAGTCAGGGAATATCTAACTCACAAATCAAACCCCAAAACAACTTCTGGGCTGATCTAATTCAGGGCACAGATAATAACACACACAGTATTCCAGTTAAGTTAAGATTTAGTAGAGTAAATAAAAATGAAGAATCCAGCAAAGGACCCAAGGAAGAGAATTACTTTAACAACAAGTATATAACTACTCACATGCTAATTTAATTCTTGCAAGTTCAGGAACCAAACTTGAAAAACCAGACATCGAAAGTGACTGTGTTACCACACTCAATTTTCCTCGTTTCATTCTTATTCATTTATTTTGTTTACCTTTGACAACAGGAGAAATGGAGAAGTGACTCACATTAAGATCCAGAACAGTGGTGACTACTATGATTTATACGGAGGAGAAAAGTTTGCTACTCTCTCAGAGTTGGTTCAGTACTATACTGAAAACCCTGGACAGCTCAGAGAAAAAAATGGGCAGTCGATAGAAATGAAATTCCCACTGAATTCCGCAGATCCCACCACAGAGAGGTAATCAACCAATGTAAATGTACTATATCAAACATCAAAACAAACCAATTAATCTTATTGATCTATATGTAGTGATACAACCTCTAGGCTGATCTAAGCCAGGGCACAGCTAACTCACAGATCGAACCCTGAAACAACCTCTGGCTGATCTAAGTCAGGGCATGGCTAACTCACAGTTTGAGACCTGCAACAACCTCTGGGCTGATCTAAGTCAGGGCACAGCTACATACATGTAATTAGTAATTTAAATTTGAACTTGGCATTGACGGTTTTTAGGGGAATTAACTGAACTAGAAATTTGGGGGATATGAAGCTCTTGAATCACTCCAAACCCCCAAAACTCCAAACTAATCTTTAAATAGTCCCATGGTTTCATTTAATGGGACTCTTTGCTACGTTGTAGATTAAGGCTGAAACTGACACTTATAATGAACTGGTATTGTGGAGTGCTTCAACTGTTTTTTCCCTTTTTTCTGCTATTTCATTCATTTCAGTTTTCGTTTTCCATCTCTTTAGTTTCATTAGCTTTTATTAACGTCCTGTACAAAACATACCCTATAATCAACCCCCATATACTATAATATACATGATAATGGCTTTTATAATACTAACTCGCTTCTGATTGGCCCAGAGCCTACAGCCAGTACCTGATTATCACGTAGCTTGACATGATAAACAAATACACCACTTTCATGCTGCTAATGTGCATACATTTGTAAACATTAGAAATTGATGTTTTTGGAGTGAAAACCCTTTTAAATCATTGATCTTGTTGATTTAGATAAGGCGAGTTTCTACTTAAATCAAAAAATCCTTTACAAGATGTTAGCATTAGCAAGGCTTCCAGTGATAAATACATACAAAACTCTCTATTTTTGCAGGGCTTTGTACCATGACCAGCCCGGGGGGGGGGGGGGGGGGGCCCCCATATATGGACTATACGGGGATGATCTGCTGAACAGGATATGGTTTTTTGAGCTTCTTGTCATAAACAGGGTATGCAATTTCACTCAAGTTCCAAGTTCTTCCTGAGTTTCCTGTCATATTCAGGGTTTCTACTTTCGTATTGAGCGAAACTGGTTATTATGGTCGTAAAAAAACGATACACGAGATGACATGATAATTAAAACAGGAACTCAGTGCAATAAATTATATCTTTTGTCATAAACAGGGTCTAAAATTTGAGTTTTTTTGTCATAAACAGGGTACCCCTTTCAGAATCCCAGCGGAACACCCCTACCCAAATCCTGGCGGAGTACCCATCCCCCCCCCCCCCCCGGATGACCAGTTGTATTTTTAAGCCCTGACCTGAGCTTGTAAATAAAGAAGCAACCATGAAATGGAAGATATTTTAAAGTTCTGCATCTTACTTCTTCAGGAAACATTATTTTTCAATATCTTTTATTATTTGTCTTTATTTCTTTGTTCCAGGTGGTTTCATGGGCATATGTCAAGTAAAGAAGCCGAGACAGTCTTACTGGACAAGGGTAAGAATGGTAGCTTCCTGGTCAGGGAAAGTCAAGGCAGGCCTGGAAATTACGTACTGACTGTCAGGTAATAATAATCATTCAAAACGAGTCAATATTCTATTATCATCATCATCATCATCATCATCATCATCATTATTATTATATATAAAATAGACCAATGTGCTCTAAGCTAAAAGCTACTTTACAACCATGCCAAAAAAAAAGACTTGATATACAGCGTTTTCAATAGAAGCCGGCCACCGGCAGATTCTGCCGTCTACTCTTGCTAATTCGGCCGCCTACTCAGCCACTTCCAATGTAATTGTAAATCGTAATCAAAGTTCTTTAAACTAGCAAAATGTGTGAATAAAATAAATATTAACCCAATCTTAATTGTTCCTGTACTACGAAAACTGCTATGCAATCGAAACTACAACGATCGTTGTCCACCATCTTGACTTTTTGTGAGAAAAGTAAGACTGCTGACAAGTATGCCTCAATTACATGCTCTAGTTATTTCCGGTTTATCGCCTATTTTAATTTCATAACCGCCTACCAAAAATTTTATTGATATCCCTGGGTATAAAGAAAAAGTAATTTAAAAACTTATATATGAGGATAGACTATAAAAATATATCTAAAACATGATAAGGCAACCCCTTGTATATGATATGTTTGTAATAAATTATTTAGGGTGCATATAGAAATTTAAGAATTCATGGAAAATCTAGAAACAATTAGCAATGTAAAAAAAACAAAACAAAAAAAACTGAGAGTGAGAGGTACATCAGACAAAATATGAGCAAAATGAATAAACAAACAAACAAAAAAGGGTTATTATTATATTATTATTATATTATTATTATTATTATATTATTATTATTATTAATCATTATTTAACTATTTTTCTCTCACTTTCTTTTTTTTAATTGTGTAAATTCCAATTTTCTTCCATACAAACTTTGTTATTTTGTTCTTTCTCTGACCCCCACCCCCCCTCCCTTCCCCCTCACTATCCCTTGGAAATTCCAAGGGTATAGATAATTTCTGGAACTACACATTAATCTTCTTTATTTAGTGTGTGTGAACATAATCAGTTGATTGTCTTTTAATCAAATTTGTAATCTATTTTTATTATTACTTATCGTTATTTCTAATGAAAATGACTATATGGTTATGACAGGTGCGATGATAAGATCACCCATGTTATGATCAGAAACCATGGAAATGGCCAATATGATGTTGGTGGAGGAGAAAAGTTTGATGATTTAACTGAACTCGTTGAACATTACAAAAAGAATCCAATGGTGGAAAAATCTGGCACTGTTGTTCACTTGAGAAATGTGAGTATGAATATGAATAAGAACTCCTTATGATTATTAGAATTTATTAATGAAAAATAAATAAATAAAACTATACAATTGGTAGGGTAGCTAAGAACTACACAAAGTAATTTTTATCTAGGCCCTTCTAGATTGAATTAGAATGTACGGTAGAAGTTGATTTTTGTGGAGGGAGGAAAACCGAAGAACACGGAGAAAAACCCTCAACGCACAGAAGAGAACCAACAAACAACTCTACCTACTCACATATGACGAGTCCAAGAATGGAAAGGACTGTGGTCACATTGGTGAGAAGCGAGTGCTCTCACCGCTAAGCCAACCCATGCTTCCCACAAGTATTTCCACAATTAATCGGCTAGGAAAATAGGTATAGATTTAATTTATCATAGGTCACTAGCTGAAAGAAACTCAGTAAGAAACCAAAGTTTCTGAAAGAAATCGAACCCATCACCTTCCAAACACAAGTCCGATGCTCTAACCACTAAGCTACAAGAAAGACTAAACGGTCATTTACTGGGTTCAATAATTATGACATAAGAGAATCCTAGTATAATACAGCGTACATGTATATGGTGAACATTTAGTTTCAGCCATATTAGCTTGGTCATACCTTGTGACCAGCAAGGCAAAGATTTGACCAGACAAGTTCCAATCTGACCTAAGACATTGTCTAATGACCGGGTATCATTATAATTCTTAAAATTACCAAATATTGTCATGACGAAAATCTTTTAATTTTCGAATTGAATTGTTTACCTTATGTTTGTGATATCAAAGACAAGTTTGTTTGTCATCCAGCGAAGCATAATTTCGGTAATAAAGAGATCAACTCCTCAGGAGAAAATTTATCAGTTGTTCTGCCCTCCAACATCAGTTGTTCTGCCCTCCAACATCAGTTGTTTTGCCCTCCGACATGGGTGCAGCCGCATGCCTTACAGTACGTTTTTTTTATTTGTCTCTTCACAGCCTTTCAATGCCACAAGGATAAATGCTGCATGTATTGAGGACAGAGTCAAAGAGTTACAGAAAGAAAACAAAAATGTCACTGGAAAAGCAGGCTTCTATGAGGAGTTTGAGGTGAGTTGTGTCCACTGTGTCTTCTCTAAGGTTATCCAAGGATGACAGTACAAAACAAGACCACAAAGAGTCATTGTGCAAATATCTGGATGGTTTTGTGGGGCGCTTTAACTTGCTTCATAGGATTTTTCAGAGTGATATCAACAAACATATTACCACTGTAGGTAAATTTATAATAGCGTGTTGATGTCATCATAAGGTTGATGGTAGGATGTCAGCAGGTTGATGGTAGGGTGTCAGCAGGTTGATGGTAGGGTAATCAGTAGGTTGATGGTAGAATGTCAGTAGGTTGATGGTAGGGTGTCAGCAGGTTGATGGTAGGGTGTCAG